CAGTTAATTGCCCCTGTCGTACGCCTCTGGTAATAGCTAGAAGAGTTCATTTAACATAATCCAGTTGGGTTCAAAATACCTACACTTCCCTCCAAATATGACAGTGATACGTCAAATAGTTTGGAAGAACTGGGCAAAAAATATTTCAAAATTTTTGAATAAAGCACCTTGTAACTAAGACAGGAGACATATTTTATCTAGGTTATCTGGGTTCAATCTTCATATTTTGAGTTCGGGATTCTATGGTTGAAATATTTCCAATTAGTAATGGAACACCCTGTATATAGTGTACCTATAAATTCGCTTTCTAGTGCATGCAGGAAATTACTTAAAGTTTGACGATTGCATATAGAATATAACCTTTTTCCCCTCAATATAATAGTTTTGATCTCAGTGATATTTAAGGAGACTATGATATATTCTGAAACATCATTATATATAATCGAAGAAATATCGTTGTTTGTTACTTGGCAATTACAAACGGTAATCCCTCAGGAATAACAATAATTTATTGTCTCATGAATTACACCAATCCTTTTTCATATAATAATGACAAATAGATATTTAAACATGATATACAACTTCATTCATTCTGAGATCTGAAGAACGTAGAAAATAATCTGCACACATATGATTAGGAGTTGCACTTTTGTTCCGTGGTATATATTATTGTACACACACTAGGCATTCAGAAATTCTGATTTACTAACTCTAATTACATGTTTCATGTCTATAATCAATTTGAACAGAATATCTACTGTATATTCCAGATCTGATTGACGCTGAAATATTGATTATTAATAATAATTGTACTTAACTTGAAAACTGGAGATTCATTAGCATGAAAACTAAATGGAAGCGAAGATGGGAGTAATCAAGACTCGTTTTTTATAGAAGGTCTGTCTGCTGATATAAGTCGTTATCCCTCTAATTTTTCAATAAAAAAGCACAAAATTATTCTTCCTAACTTCTTCGATATTCTTGTAATTTTGTAAACATCAGATCCATACAATCCACCTGAAATCTATTTCCTGCTGAACTTTTCATCCACTAGAACCTTTGAAATGTCCCGACTTCCATTGTCCAGAAGTTTATGTCCTTTGCTTTATCATACAATTTGATAGCACCATAAAACAGGGCGAGAATCTCTGAGTGTTAACTCCCTTTCATGCTATAAATTCTGGTCCCGAACGAAGGGTTTAATAAGGGCGAGGGCCTAGGGCTCGATTAGGTTATTCCGATCTACTTCCTCAAATTACTGGTTACTTAGGCAGAGGGAGCGATTGCAAGAAACAAACTAAAATACAGGGAGAGGAACTATCCACCCATACCTTTTAGCAGCTGGAAATTAGAGATCGTTGGGGATGGGAATATATTCTGTGCATGTTACGAATTATAATGCTGTTTTTGAATCTGATTAGATGCCCCCATGAGTTGAATTTTTTCCAATTGATGAGATAAATAGTGAGTCTATGATTTCCCCAGCAACTGATTCGAAATAATTCAGATGGATATAATTATTGTGAAAATGTTTTGGTCAAGTCGAAATCCAATGAACAGTTAATTTGTGGTCATATGATTGATCACAACCAATCAAAATCAAAATTCCCATCTTATAACAGCAGATCAGAATGAAATTATACATTGGGCCCATTTTCAAACAGAAGATTTCAAGATCCGTTTGAAAAAATCTGCTGTTCCACGCATTAAATTACAAAACAGACTATTGAAAAATCATTCCAATATTATCATCACACGGAATGCAGAACAAAATTATCATCGAGAAAGAGGAATTGATTGCAAAACTACGTAAGTAATGATCTTGGAGAGTTGAGAAAGAAACTGAAGAAATCAAGTAAATTGCAACGAGATCCATGAAAAGGCGTTTTCAATACTGATTTCAATTCCTATCATTCAAAAGTGAATTCAGCAAAAGGTGGAGAATCAAAACAATCTTCATGTTTTAAACTTCATCATTCGGGTACAGGTTCACATACAATAATATGAAACTAGCTATGATTAGTATATTATATATGCGTCTATTTTGTCATTGAAATGTTGTTGCATGCATTATTTTTATGGTTAAAACTGTTGTGCTGCGAAAAATGTATTGCTATGAATTGAAGCGGGTGTTTATACTCTACTTCTATTTTCTATCCATGGCTAGGATTGATTTGACAAACAATCTGCCCTCTAAAATCGTATCTGACAATCAGTCACTACAAGGAAAATTGAAAAGACAAAGAGAGAATATTCGCGGGAATCAATGTTATCAGGTGGCGCTCGGTTTTCATCGTTTCATGTCAAAACCACGTCAAAACTGGGGGAAAACAAACTCTATCCTCACTCAATCCCATAAGTGCCATTAGCCTGTGTACTATGTACTGATAAGAGTGATAAGTTTATACATTTCTTGACATTAATTGTCAATATTCGATCGAAAACGCTACTGTTGTAGATGTTCTTTTGGCAGATATTTTGCTCTATTTAGATGGAAAAAGCCGACCAGTAGTGGAAGGAGAAGCAGTTCTCCGTGCTAATCATGTGATTTTGTGTGAGGCAGAAGACTTCAACAAAAGGCACATTTTTGCACTTCGTCTACAAACTTCGGCGATGAAATCTTCCCCACATGAAGTGAAATTGAAGTTGGGGTACAGAGGAACTCCTGTAGAACAATGGATTTGTATTTGTTCATGCAAAGCAGGACAATCTGGGTATTGTAAACATGTTGTAGCTGTTCTTTTATATGTCAATTGCTTTGCTCGTCATAGTTAGTTTCAATTGTTTGAACTATTCTTCACCCGTTCACTGTTCACTAAACTAATGAAAATGTAATAATGTGAAAAAATTAACCAACTCAACCATCAGCATACCAACAGTGCCAACACTTTATGTCATTGACAAGTTTGACTACAGCTACAGCAAGCTGAATACAATGTAGTCTATGCACTTCATCCATAGACAACAGTTTGTTTTCCCCCAGTTTGAAGTTCGTATTATGTAACCTAGATGTCGCCCACTTCGTGAATCTCGCGAATATGTCTGAATCTTTCATTCACTCAAATCATTGAAATATAAAAAATAATAAAGGACAGAACTACAGCTGTGTCCGAGCTGTTATCTGTAGTTGATTTATATACGCTTACTATCAATCAAGGATCTATAGTAGTGAGTACATTACTAGCGTACAAAGCACTGGAAGAGAGCTGATGGACGGTACCTGAAAAGGGTGTTAGCCAGCTCTCATAAGCGAACCACATCACTCAGTACACACATTGGGGCTTGCAAAAAGGTCCCATTAAGGACTAGTTGCTGACGTGCGAACATCCCCAACCTCTACCAGTACCATTTATGAATAGAGGTAAGAACTGAGCAATTATACGAGAGCGAATCCATAGATTCATGGATCCTTCAGGAAATCAATCAGACAACATCAATGACATTGAAATATCGTCGAATTTCCGTATTTTGGTAACTAGTAACTAGATATTCTCGTGTAATGCGAAGGAGTGATGATCCTGCCGAGACATAAACCCTCTATAATCACTTGAACGCATTCCTCCGTGTCACAATATTCCCTCAAATCCTAACATGATCCTCTATATCATTGCGAAGACTGCCAAGATAAATCTCGACGTGTAGATACTAAGCTGGGCGGTTAATTCAAAATTACTGTGTTCGAGATTTTTCTCTCATCATTATCAACAGGATGGACAATGAAAATTGAATACCCAAGCGTACATATACAATAGACTGATGAATATCAAAATTCATTTTGGTGTTTGTCCATAATACTCGTTTATGATGATAGAATTATCATGTTTTGCTCGTTTCTATATCATTAATTTCTGTTAGGTTATCGACCACAATAATCATGTTCACCAATTCGCAAGCTCCTCATCATATGATTTGGTAGCCGGCCATTTTCAAATTTCAGTTGAGAATCACTATAAAGCCATCGTCCACCAATATGGGTGGACGATGCTAAAGCCAAAGTAGTTCATAAACATGATTATTGTGGTCAATAACTCAACACAAATGTGGTAAAAACTTGCAAAACATGATTATCATAAGTAATGTCACGATAGAGATGTATAGAAATTTTACTGATGCGCTTGCTCCCTATTGAAGGTCGTTTGCAAAGTTTGCAAGTTTCTCGATGGCGCCTACTCTGATAAACCTTTGATAAACATACTTGACGTGGGTAAATCTTGCTAAGCTCATCCTGGTTACAATCCATATTTACAGGAAACATATTACCGATCGATAACTATTTGGATACGTATATGATTTGGATCAGAGCAGTGAACTGATTTCTGATCAAACTATCGAAACGTCAATATGTCAAAAATATTGTTGAGCTGAAAAAATGGTTATTTTTGAGATTGGGGTCAAGTGTTCGTTAGGGACGTGTTCCGTAGTTTCTAAATTTTGTGTATAATACCTAATTCACCATAGAAAAAAGAAAATCTCTGTTCCACAACAGTATTATTTCAGTGATTTGAAATATTAGCGTGAACTGGTGTGAATAAATTTCTAAGGTGAGTACCAGTTACCATATCTGTGTACACTTCAAGTGTTGTCCCTATCTTTCTTCCATAAAACTCAATAAGTACTGTCTTATCGGCATTAATCGTCAGCCTGATATTATGACACCAAGTGACAAACCTGTTGGCAGTTGAATTTCTGTCACATTGAATTTGTTTATTGTGTAATTGCATTTTATTTAAAATTTCGATTGAGTAAGTTTGCATGGAATGTGAAGAAGTGTATAAGACATGAGATCATTGGAGTTCAAAAATGAAATTGTTATCTGCTTTAAAGTAGTGATGGAGCACAGATCTCATCTCTACTAAGGAAGAAAGCTAAGGCAAATTTAATTTACCTCCCACGGGAGGTAACATCCTCCCCCCCGTGGGAGTGAACTGACAGGTTTGTATCGTTGAAATGAAACGCTTACATTCGATGCAGTAACTATAGATGAAACAATATTACTATACCTTGGCGTCCCTCCAGCCGACCAGGGGCGGGAAGCACACGACGAAGCTGAGTATCCAGAGGCCGGCGATGAGCGCCTTGGCCCTTTTGTGCGACATGATGCTGGGATAGGTGATCGGCCTGGTGACGGCCACATATCGGTCCAACGAGATGGCGCACAGGTTGAGGATCGAAGCGGTGCACATCCACACGTCCACGGCCAGCCACACTTGGCACCACACGTCGCCGAATATCCACACCTGCGAGAAGTCATATCACCATATTTAAACCCATTAGCGCCGTGCGTTGCCATATGGCAACGCTAGTCGATTCGCGAAAGGACCGGCTATGAGCGAGTCGCCAGTTCTTTGCTATCTGTGAACTGGTTCGGCCACGTGAATGCACATGTTTCGAGCTAAAGTACAAGGTCCAGAGAAAAAACCGCAAAAAAAATTGCAATGTGCCATATGAAATACAGGGATTACCCAGATATTTCTTTCAAGGCCATTTCTAATCTTGAAGACGATACCTTTCACACTTAACGAGCTCCACCAAAATTTGGACAGAATTAAATTATTTATCTACCTTCACAATCATGTATTTCTCTCAAAATTTCTTATGAATCGGAATGACCGTTCATAAGTTAGCAAATTAGTAATGATGACATCAATCATTCAGATCTTCACGAGTGCGAATATCTACGAAGAAAATAATAATTTGCACAACTCATACACATTAATTCTAAGTTTGATAATTATACTCATATAATATAGCATATAATTATTATGTTCTTTGCGATTGAAAGTACAGAATATCTGCTGTTATTTGCACTTTGATAAAACGTTCAGCAGTTTCAGCTCTTTTAAGGATCAATGCACAGTCAAGTTTGTTCTTAGATGAAAACAAAATATCGAAAATTTTTGTCTGACATATTTTTGTAGTCGGCTCAATTTTCAATTTATTTCTTTTTTGAATTCAAAGCATCACTAACATGATACATATGGATAACTTCCAAGTAAACTTCCAAGATACTGATGATGACAAAAACTCCAGACAGAATGCCTCGAATATCTCATGTTTTGCCCATTAAAGAATGTGAACACGCTTGTCACCTCTGATGACATTCTCGAATTGTCATAATTGTTAGATTTGAAACACAAGTTTTAAAAGATGATTATTCGTCTCAACGAATTTTTTTCGAATATATCTTGTTCGATCACGAATTTCAAAAATTTTAAGAAGTTGCCAAAAGATGAAACGGCATTTCAAATGTTCGTCGAAGCTTCAAATTCCAATATTCATTTCATGGAAATACATTAATTGAGTGCTTTGGTGTTACGCCAATGTTAGGGTCACAAATAATAATATGCCTGATGCACTCGTTCAATGAAGGAGTACAGGAAAATGACATTCCATATCTTATGAGACATTTGTTTCTCATGTTTTTTGTTCAGCTGTTTAACAAGACAAGTGTGTCCACACTCATTGAAGATCGTAAAATGAGATGTTCGAGGTACTCTATCCAGACACACAATGAATATAAGAACATGACATTTTTGTGAAATAATGATTTTTGCTCCAACCCACCTTTCCATATTTTTTTCAAGGACAATTCAATTTGCGGTCTCGAGTTCGTACAGTGAAGCAACTATAGTATTCAGTAGACGTATAACGAATAAATTCATAAAACAGATGTCGAGGGTCCATCGAAAACCTCGGACGCGTAGGTATATTAGGGATGGTCTGTTGTTGCCCTTGTGAAGGTTTTCCATTTCCAACATAATTAAAAGTTTTGACATTCACGACCTTTTCACGACTCGAATGACAAAAAAAAATGTTTTACTGGAATACGATACTCCGTACAAAACTCGCTGCGAAACCGTGAAGTGTTGTTGAGCCAGGATATTGCTTTGTCCTGCATTTCGCTTTGTTTTTCACTGATTCCTACAGGTTTATGTGAATCGATCTATATATGTCTATATGACTTTATCAAAGACATTGTAGTGCTCAAGTGCATAAATGGAACAGAGTGACACTTGATGATGCTTATTTATTTCTTATTCTGCATCAATTCGCGGAGTAACCCGTTACCACCGATACAAACCGCGTCAGCAACCGCAGCAGCAACCGCAGCGGTAACGGCAACAGTAACTGCGGCAGCAACCACGACAGCAACCGCGTCGGCAACCGCTGCGGCAACGGCGGCAGCAACTGTGGCGGCAGCCATGTCGGCAACCGCGGCAGTATTGAATACAAATCGTATTTTGATACAAAGAGGTCCATTACGGCAAAACTCTCCAAACGGGAAACCTTCCAAATTGAGGCGATTCGGCACACTTCCATTGATCACCCTGTGACAACTCAGTCACATGGATTTTCAGAAATCGAATTTGATTTCTCGATACCCAATAAATATTCCTCCAGGAACTAGAAGTAGAATCGAAATCGATTGTTTCCTTCGAATAAAGTTATGCAGTTTTGAATGAGAGTGAAATTATTGTGCATCGTTACGTTTCAATCGTTGAGCAGTTTATAATGCTTATCTTAAAAGGTATGTTGCTGCTCTCCCAAGGTATGTAAAGTCGATGTGTTATGAGAGGTCGTAGACCAATCACTATGTATATGCTCGGACAGCAAAGCTGCAATACTGGCTTTGCAATCCAATAGGATCACATCCAATTTGGTGTCCGAGTGCAGAAAAGCCTTGGAAAACCTGGCAAAATCAAGAAAAGTCAGCCTCATGTGGGTCCCGGGACATTCGGGAATACCCGGAAACGAGGAGGCAGACAGACTGGCAAAGATCGGTTCAGGACGGACCTCGGTCGGACCGGAACCAATCTTGAGAATACCAAATAGCCTGGCAATGTCCTCTATAGAGGAACAGCTGCAAAAGCAATTCCTCAAAATATGGCAGGACACACCAGGAATGAGACAATCGAAGCTCCACATGAAGGAACCTTCGAAGAGGCTCGCAAAAGAGGTTTTATTCCTAAACAGGCGAAACCTTAAAATGGTAGTGGGGCTCCTAACGGGGCACAACCACCTCAATAGGCACCTAGAGCTTATTGGGATCAAGGATGACCCCCTTTGCAGATGGTGCCTGGAAGATGACGAAACGTCATCACATGTCCTCACTGAGTGTCCAGCACTGACGCATCAGAGGAGGGCTGTCCTTGGCAACATAATTTTGAGGCTAGAGGTCGTAAAAGAGATTCAGCTGAGGAAGCTGCTGAACTTCTCCAAGGCAGTCGGCATACCCAGCTGAATGTCGTAACATGTGGACGCACAATGGGCCCGAATAAGGAGGCCCACGTGCAGGGGGTTCACCCGCCCACCAGTGCTTCGAAGAAGAAGAAGAAGAGAAACATTTAACCTACTATCGAAATAATATACTGAAGGTACACATAGGGCACTAATTAAATATAACAGCTAAAAATAAATCAATCAATAATGATGATGGTAACAATAATAATGATAATAATAATAATAATGCTAATAACAATGATAATAGTAATGCCAATTCACTAATTCGGAGTTGGGGTTTCTCATGTCCTATATATAGGATTTGGCATATATTTTGAATGTATTGAGGGTCTGGGCAGAGCTAACGTGGGCAGGTAAAGAATGGACGAGTTCAGCAATTCATTACCAACCCTGAAAATAGCTAAAAACCTCTACCACTGGAAACAGGTTATTTTCTACTGGTTCTGGCGATTTTTGATAGAGGTTTCGGTTTTCTATTTATAGGGGGAGGGGAGGTTCAAGTGTTCGTTGGTTTATACCCTGTATGTATATTCCATTATTACATAATATGGTTTATGTGGATTGTACTAGTTATTGGTTCATAAAGTTTGAAAGTATTCGATGGCTCAACTGAATTTTATGATTCGTATCTCCTTCGGAAATAATATGAGAAAAGCACGTTTTCTTTCCTTCTGCCTCTTTCTCCGACAGAATTCTATCAGAGAACTACTTTCAATTATTGGCAATAAAGAAAGCCACAGCTGAAACAAATGATTGTCTAGACTTTAAGCCGAGATTTTGTTACGGAACGGATTTAGAAACCTGATAGACCAAAAAATTATCAGATTAGCAGTATCTGACGTCTACAACTATATTCGACACCTTTATAAATTTGGTCTGACAAGAAAAACTTTTTGGATGTACGATCGATTAACCTTCCACCTGAAGAATGGATATCGCTCACACCATACAGGGGTTATCCAAATGAAGTGACACCATCAGTAACTTTGTTATCAGTAGTGAACAATAAACGATGAAAAATCCTTTTATATATGCTTTCCTGTTATGACCTCAACTTTCAGATTCAAGATATCGGGAATAATTTTGATATAGTCAAAATAGTATAACAGTTTGGTTATTCAAACAGTTTTGTATCATAATTGTTTCTAAAGTTACCTATGACTGCCGACCACTAGATTTGAATCACACTGAATACATCAGAATTGATTGTCAAAAAAACATATACTGACCCACTGCTGTTACTCCGTGGAATGATATTAGGAAACATCAAACCTCTCCGTATCGTTCTCTTCCTTCGTATGATGTTTAGATTCTATGGCATGTTGGCAACTTTTGTATTCATCAATTAACATTTTTTTTACGACCGACTCAAAAGTCGTCCATTCCCATTTTAAAATTAGCTCTTACTGACGAAATGGAATCATCAATATGTATATCGTTAGCACGATGTATTCTTAGGTAACCATTTCATTGTTCTAGGAGCGAAAGTTCAACTCCTAAGAACTGAAAATGAGTCAGCTGACAGCTCACAGGTATAGCTGCTGACGCTAACGTACTCAAGTGAGTCACATGATAGTCACTTCACTTCACTAATATATCACTATATCAGTTCTGAAAATAAACAGTTCGAAACCATCCATGCGCAGTTTTACAGAACTATTTGCATTTTTCATGTTCTGTTGAACTGCGCATGCTTCTGATGGTTTCGGACTCTTAATTTTGTGAACGAGAACAAACTCTTGAGGAGTCTGTTTGACTCGTAAATTTTGCTTGTCAAACTGTCAATTCTGAACCCTGAATTATACATACCATAACGTATCTCTCAACGTTTCGCAATCAGTACCGTGAGACAATGAAATAAAGTTGGCATTTATAGATTTTCCTGAATTTGACACTCGCCAGTCATATCAATTTGTTATATTATTTTTGTTCGGACTATCAAGTATCGCTTTTGGAATTAGCATTGTTGCAAAGCCCAAGGATCAATCTGTCAAGGTATTCCAATTCTAACAATGGGTGATAACCTGGATTATGAATATTTGGCACTGCTACAGCTGAAGTTCTGTTATGTCGTCAGTTCAAGATGAGACCTCTGAATAGGTTTTGAAAATCTGAAGTTTTCATTCAAGCTATATACCGTCATATCCATGAGAACAATCCCCAACCCCATAAATTGGATTTGAATCTTTGCAACCATCTGCTCCAGCTTCAACACGTACCTACTGTTAAAGATAATCATATTATGTGGGTTAGTTTTATATACCTTGTATATGTTGGAAATATTGTAAAAAAGAAGGCTATGTGAATATACTATACATATGTTGAAAAAAGTCATTATGAGAGACGCTGTATATACTCTGATGACTACTATGGTCGAGTTCCGATATTATTGAATATACTGGTCAGTCAGTCATATTGGAACGAATAAAGTTTCAGTGAAATAATATTACTAGGGAATAACGGAATGAATAGCTATAGCAGTGATGGTGGGGTGTGTCGTTGTTTGGCGGCAAAAGGTATAAAAATGGGAATTATATGTATATTTATTCAACTCAAGTTTTATGTATGTATACTAGTTTAGTTAGGGAATATGGATGATCTCGTTCTAGCTGTAACTACTGAATTTTTTATTCATCCTCTGATGAATCTGATATATTATTGATGGCAGTGGTAGTACTTTTAGTAGTAGTGACAATGAAATAGAACAATTCCTAGTATGTATTGCAGGGATTTATATGTATACCATCAATATGAGAGATCACATATTCCTCATCTCCCAAGGATATTGAATTTCATCATCCACGTCAATTTCAATTTCATAGTCACTCAAAACTACCCGAAACATTTTTATAATATCAGACGATGAATTTTTGTTCACTAGTTAGTTTTAGGTTTGAAATGGCAAAGTTACCTATTTTTATTCGTAAAAATCACTATAAACACTCGAACAACAAACAGCACATGAAGAGAATGATAATAATAGGTAATTATGACCACACTTTTTGATTTTTCATGGAGGAGAGGGGACATGGCACCACATGACCATTTGGTGCATTGCCGAACAGTGAATGTCTAGCCTTGCACAGGGTTCATTAACAAAACGCGGAAAAGTGCTGCCAGCAGATTACAATAATTTCGGAACAGTGTAGTCTACTGGACAGTACTGGTTGGGAATATGGGAATTCGATCTATTTTCATACAATACCTTGAAAACCTCCCAAGTAGCTGAGAACGGCAACACTGCCACACCCACCATCAAGTCCGCCACTGCCAAGGACACGATGAAAAAATTCGTGACCGATCGTAATTTCGACGAACAATACACCGCCGCTATCACCAAACAATTGCCCACGATCACCATAACGTTGATCATCGCCAACACTGACAGCGACAGCAACAGTTGCGAATCGCCAAAGTTCACTTCAGCCAAAAGGGCCGCACACGCGGTGGCGTTCAGTTTATTTCGCATCACATCAAAAAATGGATTTTTCCAGCACACCGTAGCTCACGACGACCAATAAGCTTCTTTCGTCTCATGCCTCGAGGATGAGGCAGATGGCTTTTGTTCCATGGCTGGCTATACTTTCCTCATTAGCCGACTGTTGTACTGTCACTGGCAGATCTTCATCTTGGAAATTATTGTCTCTATAGTAACCAGGTACTCTTTCGAGGACGTGTTTAGATCTTTCTTCTACTAATTCGCTTTTCCGACTACTTCGTGCAATCTGCAATCTCCTTTTAGCTGTTGTTGCGTTCATTATGGCGAATCTAGGGTTCCTTCCAAATGCATTCGCTTCATCTGTAAAGAAAACACCATGTTATTTCAACTTCCGGGAATAATCTGATATATTTTTAAATTCTGAAGAGAGAGGTTCGCATCAAACTGGCACAATGTTTATGAATAATAATTGCACATCGAAAACATGCCTTCGCATCTAATGATCACACTTGTGAATTTGAAATGTTAAAAATCCCACATAATTGATATTATTGTTGTACTGAACGAATGATTATGATGACTGACAACAGGTGGGTATGACCAAAGCTAGAAACACGATAGTAAAATGTCGATAATTGTATATCGCTCATATGTATACGGGGTGTCCGAGGATTGCTGAGACACGTGTAATACAAGTCAAAATAAGTTGATTGCACCCAATGTATCAATATAACGGAATGTACCGTTTGTCCGTGAGACGAGTTCAAAGTTTACATAAAGAACACATTTCTCTACACTGTTGAAAAATGAGTGAAACAAATTGGTAATATCAACTAGGGAAAAAGCCAAATACTCAAAGTGGAATGCATTGGTCACAAAGAGAGAAACTCAAAGTCATTACCACAACTAGTTCATGAAATGAACGACAATGGTAGATAACGAGAGAAAAACAACTACTTTCCTGGCTATATGCCACGCAGAACATAGGTTTCGGGAGGATGTAATGCAATGTTGCAATGCAACGGTGAGCAAAACTAACTATATTTTGAGGAAAGGAAAAACGATAAAGAAATATGTGAACAGATTTCTGAAGAGCATCAAGCCTGATTCGCATATTTCTCCATACTTGAGAAGTGATGCCGTCGTGAATTATTTCTTCCTGAAAACGAATACTTTTGTGGAAAATCATCATGAAAATTACATGAAAATTCCATATGGGGGTTCAAAACCTGGAAAAACAATATTATGAGGTTGATTTCTCCTTAAAAAAATGCGTAGTATGTTTTTATGGAAAATCGTCCCGTTTTTATTTCAATAAAAATGCATGACACTGTCAAAAATGACGTTTTTGAAAAACTGATCATATCGATAGTAATTCATACTAGCCTGAATTTGGCGAGAATCATATATTTTCACACGAAAAGAAATAAAAAGATTTTAAACATACGGAATAGCGCAAATTTTGCTTGAAATGGCTCTCTCAATCCATAGATTAACGGTCGTTAATCTATGCTCAATCTCATACATTAACCTCTTTTTAGTTTTTTCCTATTGTTTGTCCTTTTCCTATATCATAGCTGTCATATCGCTTGTTCACCCTGTACGTGAATACCACCAAAGTGGCACAAAATTTGAAGGTTGAAGGATTTCCTGCATTCAATCGAATTATCTCTTATGATCATCTTAACCATCATTAATTATTATTGGTGCAACAGAATAATTTCCCCAATCGGTTTAAGTGGAAATTAACGCGGCAGTTTAATTCAATAGTTCCATTAGCCATACAGTGACTGGAATTTATGTCAAGTGCAAAACTATTTTGAGATCGCTCTGTAAATAAGAGAGATAGAAAGACAATTCGCGGAATATAATGATAATAATAACGATAATAATAATAATAATAATAATGGTCTTTTTTATTTTCAACACAATAATTACAATGATTGAAATAACAATTTGAAAGGTCGGCGACCTTTCACTTTTCTATCGATACTTCCACGGGAAATGTTCTTCGGAAATCTCTGCTATCATGCCTTCACTAGCAATACCAGTCAGACTAACTAGACAAGCCCAGTCAGCACATCCTTTCGTTGTCAACCTCGAAAGATGTCGAACAACACTTTATCAAAACTCGTTCATCCATAGAACGGCTAGGTTCTGGAATTCATTGCCTGAGGAAGTATTCCCAACATCATATAATCTCCAGAAGTTCAAGAGAAATTCCAATACCTACCTCCTGTCCCTATCCTCCCTAGGAACGCACGATGTTCCTTGAACATTATAGGAATTTCCTTTCGTGCGCTCCAAGCGATAAAAAAAAATGTGTGAAAAAAATGTCGCTGTCTCCCCAACTATCAAGAGATTTCGTGATTGATAATGGCAGTAGAGGCAATAACGGGTATTACTACGGTGCAGGAATATACTATTATAGTCCCCAGTAGCATTTTTACAGAACCTTTCAAGGATCGATATAGAGTTTAATCTGGGAAGCGGACGATCACGAGAAGCATTGCTTCATAAACTATAGTGATCAGTGGAATCGTTTCACTACAAAATTCGATTTGAATCCTATTATTGTCCACCATCATATTGGATTTTGTTTCATTCATGTAGTATACCTAATCAAAATATGCAGACGATTACATTTCGGTGATTATTCTCTCTGGTATTTTATTATTATGAAAAGGAATTAATTCGGTTTTTTTTTCTTTGTGCAATATTTTTCATCATTCATAAATATCAGAAAATCCGGAAATTCTTATTTCGATGAAGAAATTGGGTTCCTAATCTTCTGTCTTAAAAAGGGCAATTCGTCTCGTGGGTGATGCCTCGCTCACAAATTCACTCACTTCTCTGGAACACCGTAAAAAAGTTGGCGATCTGGCTTCATTTTATAGATATTTTCATGGACGATGCTCTTCTGAAATATCAACAATTAATCTTCCCTTGGCAGTCCCCGCGAGATTAACCCGTCGAGTTGAGGCTTCGCACCCCTTCGTGGACACTTTGGAGACCTGCGGAACATCTCTTTCCAAAGACTCGTTCATCCAACGAACAGCGAGGCTATGGAACACATTGCCAAGTAAGGTGTTCCCCGAAGCATACAACCTCTAGAAACCACAGACACGTGTTTTGGGCTTCCGGCCCTCATCAGTAAGGTGGGAAAAGTTCAGAAGATAGGCAACACTTGGTGACTGACCGAAACCACAACTGTGCGGCTGATTTCTGTTTGTTGACTCCATTATTTTGTTGTTTCATCATCCACCAAGAGTTGCCAATCTTTTGCAATTTTTTCACCATAGTGATGAGGTTTTGGCCCAAAACAAATGCCTGCGGTTAACTCTCCATGAGGGCTATGTACAATATGTCCTTTCTAGTTTGCTATGATCTTTGAAATCAAAGCCCAAAAGAGGCATAGAACTGAAATAGATATGATTGATATCATTTTTATGAAACTACAATTATTCTGGATTATTTCAAATCTATCTGGACTCCCAACTATTTCTTCCTTAGAGGTACCATTAAAGATAATGCGTCCGCAAACGTAGCGCAAAGTTCCCTATTTCTTGATACAAAATTGAAATTATTCTCGTAAATCTGCCAGGAATGTATGGGGAGCGGTAAAATGTCGCGAAGTTGATATATGGATATTTTGATTTAGAGCATTCGAAAGTCTTTTGATAAATATATCCCCCAAAACTTTCCCAGCAACTTATGTTCATCATTCGTAAGAGTGGAGATGCAAAACCCATTGAATTATTTCACAACTCATGAATTATTTTGCAATGTCAACTTTTCTTCTTGAATTCGAGGAATGATACGTGTTCTTCACCCTGAACCATAATTATAGTCTCGACAGTAACACAAATCTACCTCAGTTCCCTCGACGATGCATGTATGTACTTTGTACTAATTATTTTCTCCACTAATTATGGTACCTAGCAATTTTATAGAATTCCAACTTCCTTGACTTCGAATTATAAAATACGTACTGATAATTATATTACTGAATTTAGGCATCCATTTGACTAGTTAACCAGTGAAACAATCATTTTATTCGATTTTATCACTTGTGCATCCGCCAATTTTTCAAATTATTCAAATGATCTGATTTCGACCAACTTAAAAATATCATAGTAGCTTCAATCTTTCAACTCGTTCCCAGTTCTAATCATCACAATGATTGCATTCAGCATCCTCCTAAATTAATTTCATTTAACTTCCTCGATATTGCATGTATCAATTGCATCGGCAATTTTTCAAATTTCTACTAATTTTATATCAGATCGACTTCAAGACTATTTTCTCGTCCCTAATAATAATGGAAATACCGATTACAATCATTTTTCTACTCACATAACTAAAATGGCATTTAGCGTACGGATATATACCACGCTAGATGATCGATTAATCACGGATTGTCGATCTGTGATTTATTCAAAATATTAATCACGTTACCATGGCAACACGATTTCTTAAACACATTACCATGGCAACACAGTTCATTAAACACAGCATCAGCTATGCGAGACATGTCTGGCCTGTCAAATGTATTAACTGTCAACTGTTATTTTCAAATTTTGTATCAGAATTTTTCAAACAATATTCGTTTGTATCAGAATTCTTCATTAAAAATATATGCGAAATGTAGACGAAAGTGAAATCGAAGAAAATGTTCTGGTACTCGCATATCTCCAAGAAGTGTAAAAATGAAGCATGCATCTTTGAGAACAATTTATTTATTCTGCGCTAAGCATGACAATAAACGTGAAACAAAGATTAGTAAGCAATGGACTGGACACATCTACAACCAATATCACTTATACGTGTTTCGCTGGTTGCATGCAGTTGCATGTATTATGTTCTCAATTCCCATTCTTTTCGAATTATTTTGTAGGTTAGCAGGAATAGCAGGTATGATAATGTAATTTTCGGAATTCGTAGAAAAAGCATAGTATGTAACGCGTTTATGAACTCTTCTAGACACTTGTTTATCAAACACTCGCTCCGCTTTGCTCCGCTCGTGCTCA